CCACACCCACACCCACACCCCACACCCACACCCACACCCACACCCACACCCCACACCCCACCTCACACCCACACCCACACCCACACTCTGCTTTTTCAGTGCTCTACATTACTTTTGTTCATCTACGTATTGCGTATAACTTTCTATTTACACTCATTAAACCTGATATCATTATGTTTTCCGCCTTTTATTATCTATGCGTTTATATTCATATATCATGCAAAAATCATGGTATGTCAAAAATCGTCGTCGTCATATTTGGAGGTTGGGTGGGATACCATCAATGACTTAGATGGATCTATTGATCGATTGAAAATTCTGGTGTATCTTATCTGTTGTCTTTGTTGTGATTCAAGTGGAATGTCCCATCTGACATCATGCGATTGATTTGCCAGATTATGTCCTGTTTGAATTGTATCAGTTTTGGGTTGTACCGAGTAATAGGATAATTCCCCATGCAATTTAATTTTGACAACTACTGTTACAGATTCCTTTTTGCCATTAATAACCATTATGATTCCATCCCACTGCTCTTTGACATACTTTTGATCGAAAATTGTTACAGGTAAAGAATCTACTGATGGACCATCACTCGGAGCTTTTTCTTCAAACGTTACGCGAATACTAGGCGCTTTGGTTAAATGGATAAAGACCGGATTGTTTTTCAATGTAAATGGCAAACTCTCTTGGCAGATAAACTGATGATTGTCACCTGTAATTGAGACTGGAGCCGTAGTTAAAGTATGACCGGATGTGTTGTCAAATTCAACTGAATGCCAAACCTATGAACAGATAGAGAATTTCACTGAACAATTCTTATTAAAATAAATTGAAAATATGGTCAACAGTTTGTAATGAATATCATAAAATTGCATAACAGCAATTACAAGTCCCGTATGAGTGGCAAGTACAGCATTCTAATGAATATGTTGAACTTAGCTGAAAGGGTATGTGTGTGAGTAAAGCGGGTAACTTCACCTTGACGACAATACTTACATCCACGCCTTATTCATGAATTGAATGACATCACTCTTAGAAGAGCGATAAATTAGACAAATTCTTAAGGGTATCTCTGATTGGTACACAAAGTAATGATTTGTCACTGAGGTATCAAACACAATGAACTAGCAAGAGTTGAAAAATGATAAATGCGCTCTTTTTACTGAATTAAAAGTAATATCATACCTCAGCAGTTATTGTGTGATCACCATACCCAGGGGTTGAATCTGAATGCTTAGTTGACTCTTTGTTTGGATTGATTTTACAGTGATAAATATCTTTATATGGTATTTCGATATCAAATATAGGCAACGATAATTTTTCATTTTGTTCAAGTAAAACGTCGTGAAATTTATATAAATGAAAATCGTCATTTGCATCATGATTGATAATTACATCTTCATCGTCCGTTGGTACCACAACATAGTTGGATGTGTTCATCCGAGGATTAAATCTTGTGTTGGCGTTCTGATATGACGGCGATAACCATGATGATGATGATGGTAAATCACATCTAGCGAGTTGATCAAGAAATTCTTTCGCCGATTGTGTATTGAATATTGGATCGATAACATCAATATATTTTGACAAATTTGGATGACCGACAATACAAAATAGACCTTTGATATTGACATCTTCAATATCGTTCATCATAACGCATTTCATAGACAATCGTAGATTTTTTACGCTTGATTCAGAAGGGGCCATCAGGTTCAAGCTAAAAATTTTAATCGAAAATATACAAAAGAGATTCATGAAATTTACTTGTATGATGGCACCCAAGTGATTCCAAATGTCAGATATTTCATAACACCTTGACAATTTGAATTCGACTTGTTTTTGTAATAGATTTGTAAAATAGGTTTTACGATTTTCTTTGTCAATGTTGTTTTGAGATTTTCTCCCTGAATCGATACAATAGAATTCAATGGAATCGCGATAATGCGTTTGTCGACTTTTTCGATGATGGTCATTTGAGCAACAGGTGCTTTTGAATTCGATGGTTTTTCATTATCATTATCAGCTATAGTTACATGAATCTTCCCTTTTATCCAAATTGGATTTGGTTCTAAACCTTGTACGAGTAATTCCATATTTTCTTGGCCCATGTTTGCTTGGACCAATTCTTCAACTTTTACACACTTTGTTTCTAGGGTTTGATGGATTTTTTTGGTTCGAATAGAAGACACAATCACTAGAAAACGAATCATTCCTATGATGGGAGATGCTTCTAGGTGAAAAATTTTTTCTAATAAAATCTTTCATTTTCAATCAAATTTGATCAATATGGTTAATTAAAAACGTTTCCCGTGAAGTTTTACAGTGCACTATATAGAACAGAGAAAATTGAAAGAGATTGTGATAACAAGCACAGATTGACGAATTTTCTTTAGACAAAGGCACATCTATCAAATTTTTACAATAGAACATAATACGATACGTATCATTTATATCATAGAAGCACTCTGTTTTATGAAGTTCAAAATAAAAATGTGAATCAAATATTGTATTTGAAAACTTTCTGTGATCTCTCTCTGGAGCAAACCAACCGATATTACACAAGCATACATTATTACCTTAAAAATTCGCTGATTAATTTACATAGTTATTTTTTAAACTAAAAAATGATTCCGAAAAATAAATGCATTCTTTATAAACCAAAATGACATGAATATATCTGTGAGTCAGTCTAATGGGCCAAGAGAGGAAAGCTCAAAGCTTTCTGACTACGTGTCAAAACACTGATGAATGTGCTCATCGAAAGTAGGAGAGAACTAGAAAATATTTTTGAAAAGATTCCAGTCTTGTGAATTTCATTGATCGTAATAAGAACTCATCGCGAATTTGTAATACATTATTCAGACCGTCGACAGAGTCAATTCGATTAGACTAGGCTATCTGTTGGCCAGTATCAGCCAAGATTACAACAAGAACAATAAGTTCCAAGGAAGATAAACTCATTATAGTTAGTCGGCTTACATGAGTCGTACAACTGCGTTTCGATCTACAAATTCAAGAGATTTTTGACTTTCCATAAAAAAGTTTGGAAAATCATTGTTTCAATGCACTTTTTTGGTTCACATGCTTTTTTTGTTACACTTCAAAAGAGTACGATGAAACATGTTGAGAGATGCTTTTTTCTGCAGAAAGTTGCTTCTAACCGTCAATTCTACACCGATTTTTATAGACCTGTTAAGCTATCAATGTACGATTATAGGTGCGAATGTATAGACATTAAGATATAGAGATACTGATATAGGCCTACATACACTATATTGTCACGCATATACCCTTGTACCAATATCTTTCCCTCTATGCACTATTATCTATAAGCTTAACCGTATAGTCGCTTTGACCCATGTCCTCATACATCGAGGCATATATCATTGGGCTCGAATTACAAATTTTTGATCATATTGGAATTTACATGAAATTTAGTTTTCTAAATTATAAGTTTTTTACTAAAAGGATGACAAAATGTAAGATTTTTAATGTAATTTTGCTACACGAAAAGGTAACTGTTCTAACTTTACTATTTGAGAATTTTTTTTAACTGAGTTACTATGAATGACTAGATCCTCATCAGGATGCCTATCTCATTTCTTTCTACCAAAATGAACAATACACACAATGGTGGTTACAAAGTTCAATTAGAACATACTGTATTCACATAGGAACTAAAACAAAAAGAATAGATCATCTAATTCGAAAAAAAAATAAGGAAGCAAATACCATATTGGATACTTAAGTTTGATTACTGAAAATAATATTCCATCATACGGGCTACCTCAGAAGTGCAGAGTTATATTAAAATTCATCGTTCTTGGGTTCGCCAAGATCAAATTTGCTGAGATTTTAATAGGTTAACGTACCCACTTGGCAATAAATATGCAAAATATTTATTGTTTATACATGTTCAATTGACTAAAAACGGATAACAGTACTACTGTGGCATATATCTTCGATTTTCTCGACGATCTAGACTATTTTCTATAAAGCAATACAATTTTACCAAATAAAGAGAAAACTATGTTTTCTTATTAATGTTTGGATGTGGGTGGGTGTGGATGTGGGTATGGATGTAGTTCTTTAAACTGTACCCACATCCAACACCCGTCCTCTCACCCACTCACACCCATGCCTACACATCCAATATCCACACCCTCTCGATATGCAGAAAAGTATATTATTGTATCACAATAAAAACTTACCATTGGAAGTTGTTTGTATCGAAAATGTACCATGAACGGGATTTGAAGGTAGATCAAAGAGTTCAAGCGGTGTATCATCTTTGTTTGGTGGAATCTCGAACTCTTTGACTATTAAACAATAACCATTTTTGAATGCATAGACATTTGATGCCTGAGTCGGAGCTTTTTCTTTTTCGGTCATTGCCGACGAAAATAAAGTTTTAATGAACTTTGTTTCTGCAATGTTAAAGTCAAACAAATTTATGATTCTCCAGCTGAGAGCTCGTTCTTAATCAACCAGAGTGAATATTAGGGATCGACAAGCTCAGCTCATTTCCACTCAGAGGAACTGTTCGAACAGCTCTTTTGAGCTGAGCTGAACTGGTGAACCGGTTCGCTTGAGCTGTGAGTTGTGTTCCCAAAACAGAACACTTTTGTTCGGTTATAGAAATTTTTTCTTAAAAACAGAACAATTTTGTTCTATTATGGGAATTATTTCCCGAAAACGGAACAGAAGTGTTCTGTTTTGGAAACACAGCTCACAGGTCAAACGAACCGGTTCACCAGTTCAGCTCAGCTCAAAAGAGCTGTTCGAACAGTTCCTCTGAGCGGAACTGAGCTGAGCTTGTCGACCCCTGGTGAATATAGCAATATTATTCCATCAAAATACGCAGTATTTCATTTTTATCGAAATTCATCAGATGAACAATATTATTTTGTCGTGTACGATGGAAGAACTTGCTTTAACGTGTCATAAATAATCTATACTGCTTTATTCCTTTTGGTCAAGAAATTGAAAATATACTTTTTTTTATTGTGTTTTAGAATTGACTTTGATGTCAAACAGTTCTTATATTTAGCAGACTATTTCTACTCATAAAGCCGCCATGGCTGAGTGGTTATGTTGTTCGACAAGTATCCACAAGGTACTGTGTTCAAACCTCAGTATCACCATCCATGGAATGACCCTGGACAATTCACTAACGGCTAAGTTGTCTCGAATGACTCATTCGTATCGTGCTGAATATATCGCTAGTCAGTACGTTGGACGGAAGGAGTGCAGATACCGCCGTCTATAAAAAGAAAAAGACGAAAGAACCTGACTGCTTATGTGTACCCTTTAGCGCCGGCCCCAATGGGCGATAAGCCTATGGGAAATATTATTATATTATTATTCTACTCATAGAATTGTCCAGTTAAATAATCTTTGACTTTCTTAGGAGGAGAATGCATCCTATTCCGCGATGTTGAACATTGCGGAATCAGTTCCGCTTCTGGAACAAATTTCATCCACTTCTAGGAGCTCAACTATGGTTCCACAGGGCAGGTCCAATCGATATCGATCTATTTCCGTCAATTTCCGGAATTCCGGGAATTGTCTTGAAGCGAAATTCCTTCTAATTCCTGAATTCTGAGTAATTTCGTATTCACTCAATTCAGGGAATTCCTGGGAATTGCTTCTGATTCCGAAATTCCGGGAACTCCTTCCAATTCCGTATAAGTTCCGAATGGCGAGTATTATTCTAATTCCGGAATCGGAAGAAAAGACGCCGCCGGATAAGATCGTAAACCTGCCATCCCCCTATGTTTCACTTTCAATAGGTTAGAAAGATAGAGCATGAAATTCTGGACATTTCAGTGTATTAATTTTTCTTTTTGTTGAATGGAAAAAAAATTTTCAAAGACAAAAAGTCTTGGATGTATATCAGTTTTGGGTATTTTGAACAATAACTATGATATCCATAACTTTTTGTTTTGTAAATCTAATACGAGAACTAATAGTGTAAATCAATGCAGTTTTTCATGCTCTACAAAATGATATATTGATCATGTTTACTGAAATTTCTGTTTTTAGATTATGCAGAGTCAAACAGGTATCATAGGTACGATTCTTATATTAAATAGGCAACTTTGGTGAAGTATTATTGCATTTAAAAATCGAATTGGACAAAAATCTCACTAAGATCAAAAACTCTTTCGGCTCACGCTCTATCGATCTATGTGGTTTTCAGAAAAATTAAAGCAGTCCCGAGGTTCATTTTCATCCAAACTTTGTAAAAAAGTTACCGTTTTAAGATATTATACAGTCATAGTCGACCTTGAATCTTAATATTATTTCAACTTCAGAGCAAAACGAATATCATATTCGAGATCAGCACTAAAAACTACGCTATATCATATAATTTTTAGCCCAAATAATTTTTTCGAGAAATTCACCCTGGAGGAGACCACAGGCAAATTTTAAGAAAAAAATGGCTGAGGGGACCACATCGATTATTTTGTAAAACATTATTTGTGCTAAAAACTACATGATATAGCGTAGTTTTTAGTGCTGATTTCGAATATGATATTCGTTTTTCTCTGAAGTTGAAATAATATTAAGATTTAAGGTCGACTTTGACTGTATAATCTATATATATAATGTTCAGTGTCTGCCTGTGTGTTTGTTTGTCTGTCTGTGCCGGGTTAAAAGTCAAGGGTCAAAGGTTAAAGGTTAAAGGTCAAGGGTTAAAGGTCACATAAGGCTATAAGGGGAGATCTCCAGGGACTATTTATGGGGACTTATAGGTCCCCAAGGGCTATCCTATGGGGGACTCATAGATCCCCAAGGGCTATTATGTGGGGGTACCCATAGGTCCCCAAGGGCTATCCTATGGGGGTTCCCATAGGTCGTCAAAGGCTATCCTATGGGGATGCCCATAGGTCCTCAAGGGCTATCCTAGGGCGGTACCCATAGGTCCTCAAGGGCCATCCTATGGGGGTACCCATAGATCCCCAAGGGCTATTATGTGGGGGGCACCCGTAGGTCCCCAAGGGATATCCTATGGGGGTACCCATAGGTCCTGAAGGGCTATCCTAGGGCGGTACCCATAGGTCCTCAAGGATCATCCTAGGGGGTACCCATAGGTCCTCAAGGG